TTGGTTGGGCTCCGGCCTACCTGTAGCTTGCAGTTGTACTAAAGCCCTTTGCACTTCCTCTCCTCTGTACTTTGCATGGCTTCTGTCACCTTCTTTGGGCTGCTCGCCCCACACCCCAGTTCAGAGTTCACAAGCAACATAGCATGCTCAGAACCCAGTTACTGCGGGCACAGTCGCAAAGAAGCTTGTCCCAAGGCCTCACTAGGCCTGGAGCTGCAGCAACCAGAATTTTACCCACAGATCTTCTTCCAAAAGATTTGGTCTGCAAACCCATCAGTATTTTTTCTCATTGAAAGCAATCAAACTCTTTCTTATCTGACTGACAATCAGAGCTTCCAAGCAACAGGTAATACCTGGCATCACAGAGCGACTTGCTGTTATTTCAACAAAATGCGTTTCACTTAGCCAGAGCTACTGATTCTAAATAGACATTTGCTTTCTGCCTCCCTGCATTCTTCCACTACACACACTCGTCACTTCCTTCCCAGCACCTCTGGGTCCACAGCATCCACGGGCAACCCTGGCACACAGCTTGAAGCCCCCGAACCAGCACACTGCCATGCCAGGCTTGGCCACTCCGGAGGAGCTCTGCTGCCCTCCCCTCCTCCCACACTCCTCCCCCCCCAGATGCTACTTCTTCTGTGATCTGAAATCACACTTCCAAGGACCAGAGAGAAACATTGCCCACGAGCAAGAAAGTGATTTATTTGCTGGGGGAAATGAATGGCTGCCTTTGCTTCCCTGACACTCCCATCAGCACCAGGAAACAAGAGTGACCCTGAAGACACCCCAAGCAGAGTCAGCACTTAGGCGAGTAGGCCTGAAATCAGCAGGTGACATAGGACATGCAGGTTGGGTCGTCACATGACAGTGGGTGTGACGATGGGTTCTTAAAGTGAAAGCACATCACCTACTTACATACATTTCCTGTTGAAACACTGGGTGGCTTCTGTTTCTGTGCATCAGGCCTCAGTGGAAGATTGCTAAGACTGGTGTGCCTGGACAATTACCAGACTCCAGCCCTGTGCAGTCCCATGTAAGAGTTTACACAGGACAAGTTACAAAAAGAGCCCTCCCTCCTCTTTTTGTGTCTCCTGTACTTTATGAACATTGAAATCCTTTCCCTCTTGGTATTGCAAAAATAAAGGAGGAGGTTTTAGCCACTTAAGAATGTCTTAGGATTTAAAAGAATAGCATTTGGGCCCGGCGCCGTGGTCTAGCAGCTTAAGTCCTCGCCTTGAACGCACCGGGATCCCATATGGGCACCGGTTCTAATCCCGGCAACTCCACTTTCCATCCAGCTCCCTGCTTGTGGCCTGGAAAAGCAGTGGAGCACAGCCCAAAGCCTTAGGACTCTGCAGCCATGTGGGAGACCTGGAAGAAATTCCTGGATCCTGGTTTCGGATCAGCGTAGCACCAGCTGTTGTGCTTACTTGGGGAGTGAATCACCAGAGGGAAGATCTTTCTCTCTGTCTCTCCTCCTTTCTGTATATCCGCCTTTCCAATAAAAAAAATAATAAAAATAAATCTTTAAAAAATAAATAAAAGAACAGCATTTGAAACCATTCCCCTCATTCAAAGGCCACAGCAAAAACCCGGGCTCTGCGTCAGCATTGTGGTAGAGTGGGCAAAGCCGTCACTCAAGGTGATAACATCCCATATGGCCACTGGTTCAAATTCAGGCTGCTCTATTCTGACCCAGCTCCCTACTCAGCCTGGGAGAAGCAGAGGATGGCCCAAGTTCTTGCAGCTCTGTCACCCACATGGAACACCTGGAGGAAGCTTCCACCTCCTGATTTCAACCTGGCTCAGCTCTGGCCATTGCAGCCATCTTGGGACTGAATCAATAGATGGATGGCCTCTGACTCTCCCCCTCTCCATCTCTAACTCTTTCAAATAAACATCTCCCGGTCTACCAGAAACACACAATGTAACAAGAACAGTGAGGGGAGAAATCACCGGCTAAGACACGAGTGTTCTCCCACTGTCAGAGAAGTCCTGTCTTGCACAGGCAAAACATGAGCAGACATCAGCCTGGGCTTCCTTGTGTGCCCCTCCTCTGTGCCCGCCCCTCCACTGGAGTGGAGAGGGGGCAGTCCCTCATTTCACCCTCAGCCTTAAGAAGTACAGATGACCAATGACCATCAGTCAGCCACAGACAATGCACTTCTGACACTGCTCATGGAGCAGGCATCACTCAAAGCTTCAGGTCATAGGAGCTGATCCAAGTAACACTTGATGCTTACTTTATGTCAGGCATTTTCCATGGATTATCATCACCCTACAGGGTACGCACTGTTTGCATACGAATCAGACAACTGTGTTGACTCCATACCCAGCACCCTTGGCCAGTGTTCTAGTCTACCGTACGATAGCAGTACTGGACTGGACCACAGTCCATTCCCCAGACACACCAGCCCTGATTCTTGCTGCTGACATGCCCTGCTATTTCCTAACAGAAGTACCCAGCATCTCAAAGACTTCCAAAGACTTCCCTTCTTGGAAGGTTCAGAACTGAACCCTAAAGAGTGGTTGTCGCAAGTACACAACAGTTAAGCCCAGGATGCTGTGAGCTTGGAGGGCCGAGGTTCAATACTGCCACTTTGTGCTGTGCAGCAGCTTCCCGATTTCCCTAAACAACAAGACAATGAGAAAAGTCCACAAAGGGGGTTGTTTAACTCATCTCAAAACATTTCCTGGGGTCCAGCCTGGTACCCTAGTGGCTAAAGTCCTTGCCTTGCATGGCGCCCGGATCCAATATGGGCACCAGTTCTAATCCCAGCTGCCCCACTTCCCATCCAGCTCCCTGCTTGTGTCCTGGGAAAGCAGTCATGGATGTCTCAAAGCCTTGGAACCCTGCAACCACAATGGGAGACCCGGAAGAAGCTCCTGGCCTCGGATTGGCTCAGCTCCGGCCATTATGGCTGCTTGGGGAGTGAATCAGTGGATGACAGATATTTCTGTATCTCCTTCTATCCGTATATCTATGTTTCCAATAAAAATAATTTTTTTTTTAAATCCCTTGGGAAATGTCTGGCCCGCAACCTTTAATGCACTTTGAACAGCAATCTTTCCGAGAGGAAAGAACTTGAGACACAGATGAAGTTTTATTCCAAAAGAGAGAATGCCAAGCTAAAATGGTCTTTGTCACTAATCCTAAAAGAACACTAAAAGTTGCAGGTAATAGCATCCAATTCTGGATGCTTCCTCACCTGTGAACCCTGTACTGAGAGGCCAGTGTCAGAATACAGCAAGTTACGGCATCACCTACAAAAGTCAGCATCCCGTGTCCGAGTGCCGATTCCATGCTCACCTGCTCCACTTCCAACCCAGCTCCCTGCTGATGCACCAGAGAAGGCAGCAGAGGATCACCCAAGTGTCTGAAGTCCCTCTCACCCATGCGAGAATTCCAGATGTACTTTCTGGCTCCTGGCACTGACCTCACATAGCCCCAACCACCGTAGCAATGAACAAGCATTTCTCTCTCTCCCTTTCAAATAAACAAATAAATTTGAGGATAAAACATGTCCAATACAAATAGGAAAGTGATAACTTACTCTATGTCAATGTCAAAGAAATCGATCAAACTGCTCAAACAGGGCAACTCTTGGGGCTGGCACTCTGGCATTATGGGTAAAGCCAGTGCCTGTGACGCATGTAACCCACATGGGAATTGATTCAAGATGGCTCATTTCCAATCTAGCTCTAGCTGCCTACGGCCTGGGGAAAAGCAGCAGAAGACGGTCCAAGTGCTTAGGGTCCCTGCCATCCCAAGAAAGAACCAGATGAGCCTCCTGACCCAGCCCCGGCCTTGGCAGCCATCTGGGGAGTAAGTCAGTGTCTCTGTAGCTCAAGACAGCTTGCAAGCACCTGATGCACCTGTTCTACCTGAATCGACAGCCAGGGGAGCATCCAAACGCAGCTGAAAGAGAAGACACTCACTGTCCAGAAGACAACAAGACCCTTTTATTTTTAAAACTCTGGTGAAATAGTTTGCCAAATGACATCCCTGCAGGTTAGTCACACAATACAGACTTCATCAGGGTGTTTACAGATGGCTAGAATATTTACAAATGCTATCTGCTAGGTAGTAAAGTTTTGTTGCAATTTTTCCAGCACTTACTCCACAGTGAAAGAAAGGGGGCCTATTGGCGTTCTCGTATAAAAATTCTTAACAAATGCAGAAAGGCAATTTCCTGAGAGAAGATTTGTTCTTGAACTATTTTTTTTTTCTTTGAACAATTGGGAATATAGAAACGGGATATAGTTGTCAAAGGATAAGAATGTCTAAGTTAACATTTTTTTTCTTTTAAATTACTTTAAGTACCATTAAGTTAAAATGTTTACATTCATTATAAAAAAAATGCTGTTAAATCTTATGCAAGTGATTTAACACTGATTGCTGCAACGCAAATTGCACTTTTTAAAAAAAAAATTATTGTATACATGGAAGAAAAAAAAATATTTTGTTTGCTACCCTGTTTACAAATGCTGACTGACGTCAGATCAGTCACAACGTGAAGTTTGAGAAACGTCGGTCACAGTGTACATTACAGTCAGAATGCAGTCTTGAAAAATGAGCAATAGTGTTGATTGGAAACCTCAGGAGCCCACTCGACCTCCAGAGACGTGTACCAAATGGCCTCACATGATGTTTTCCATGAACTCATATGAAATCTGCATGTGAAAAGGTAATGAAGAAAATTCTGGAACAACCAAAATTGATCAGAAGAAGCACATGGGCCCGGCACCATAGCATAGCGGTTAAAGTACTCGCCTTGAACGCGCCAGATTCCATATGGGCACCAGTTCTAATCCCGGCAGCTCCACTTCCCATCCAGCTCCCTGCTTGTGGCCTGGGAATGCAGTCAAGGACGGCCCAAGGCTTTGGGACCCTGCACCCGTGTGGGATACCTGGAGGAAGCTCCTGGCTCCTGGCTTTGGATCTGGCTCAGCTCCAGCCATTGCGGCCACTTGGGGAGTGAACCATCAGACAGATCTTCCTCTCTGTCTCTCCTCCTGTCTGTATGTCTGACTTTCCAATTTAAAAAGAAGAAGGTGAAGAAGAAGAAGCACATGACTGGGGCAATACACTGACAGTCCGTTTTTTAAATCCTGCCCTTGGCAAGGTCCTCGGTCCTCAGTCTGGGTTTCTGGAAGCTATGCAAGGGCTGTGGCTCGGAGGGCCAGGCTGGCTGGAGGCAGTCCTGGCTGGAGAGAGGTGGTATGCACCACCGTTGGCGAGAACAGCCCTGTCTTTTCTGCCCTTCTGCCATCCGGTCTCTCCTGGAATACATGTCTTTCAAAATAAAGGCACAGAAATCACACAGCGTGGGGAATGTCTGCCAGCAGAGTTGCCAACGTCCAATCAGGCGCGAGCAGCGCGGTTCAGGCCAGGGCCAGGGCGCACCAGGAATCCTGTCGCACAGAAGAAGTGACCTCCGCCGGCGAGGCCAGGCTGACACCGATGTAGAGCCCATCCTGACCCGAATACTTAAGCTCGCTATTCTCAGGGTTGGTGCTCTCTCCAGCGCCGGACATCACAGGAGCGCCCGCCTAAGCAGAACAGGGGCAGAAAAGAGGGGAGAGTCGGTTACCCATCACTTTGCCAGCAAGTCACTCAAACACAAAAGGAGCAGGCAGGGCAGGGCAGCAAGTAGCAAGCAAGAAAGCACTAAGGAAAACAGGAAGTGGACCTGGCCCCTCCCCGCCACAGCAGGTAAGCGGGCAGCTTTTCACAGTGCAGCACGATGCCCCTGGACAACCCCAGTCTGCTCCATGTTAACTTCAAAAACTGTGATGGCACCCACCCAGCAAGACCCAGGCCGACAGACAGACCTGCAGAACAGACAGCAGGTATTGTGGAACAGTGGATTCCACCCTGGGCATCCTATATCCCAGTGCAGGGCCAGTCCCAGCTGCTATACTTCCCAACCAGCTCCCTGCTGCTGTGCCTGGGAAAACAGTGGAAGGCAGCCCGTTTGCTTGGGTGCCAACCTAGGTGGGAGACGCCAAGAGTTCCAGGCTCCTGCCCTCCACCTGGCCCACTGCTGGTTGTTGTGGCCATTTGGGGAGTGAACCAGCAGATGGCTTCTCTGTCTGTCTGTCTGTCTGTCTCTCACTGTTTTTCAAATAAGTACCAAAATGTAAGAGGATTCACTGAATCACAGCACACATAAGCGTCATTTCCTAAGCACAGGGACAGGAGTACTGGCACAGGGGTACATCCCACCATACCACCCACCATGTCAGCATGCCTGCTTCAGATCCTGGCCATTCCACGCTTTCCCGCTAGTGTGTAGCAGCACAAGACGGTCCAGGAATGCAGGTCCCTGTCACCCATACAGGTAACCCAGATGGAGTGCTTGTCTCCCAACTTTCACCTGGCCTATTCCTGGCTGTTCTATAGGTATCTGGAGAATGAACCCATCGATGGAGACTTACTTTTTTTTCTCTCAAGATTTTTTTTTAATTTGAAAGGCAGAATTATCTAAGAGAGACAGAGACATACATGCACACAGCGAGATCATCTATTCACTGCTGTACTCTTGAATTAGCCACAACAGCAGGAGCCAGACCAGGCTGAAGCCAAGAACATGAAACTCCATCTGGGTTTCCCATGTGGCTACGGGGCCCAAGCACCTGGACCATCTTCAGCTTTCCCAGTCTCATCAGTAAGGAGGTGGATCACAAGCGCAGCATTAGGGACATGAACCCTTCCATATAGGATGACGGTGTTACAGAAGGAGCCTTAACCTGCCACACCACACAGCACCAACCCCCAGCCCTCTCTCCCCGCTCTTCTTTCTCCTTACTCCCTTCTTCAAATATAAATAACAGCTGCATTTCAAAACAAGACTTAAAAATCACCATGTGCTTTATATCAGACCTTCGCACAGCTCAAAAGCTCAAAATTTTCTAAGTTTTTATGATTCTGTTCCACAAATTAGCTGAATCCTTGTTATTACTGGTCAGAGATTTTTTTTTTTTTTTAACATGCACAATTCTAACAAATCTTTAAACAACCATTCATTCTGGTCACATTGACGCTACATTCACAACAGAGAAAACCAGGGCACCACAATGGAACAGAGCCATGCTGAGTCTCCATGGCCTGTGTGTGACCCACTTTGCTGATTTTTTAAATATAAAAGATTTATTTATTTTTATTGGAGGGTCAGAGTTACAAAGACAGAAAGATCTTCCATTCGCTGGTTCACTTTCCACACGACCTCAACGGCCAGAGTTGAGCTGCTCTGAATGCAGGAGCTTCTTCTGGGTCTCCCATATGTGTGGATGAAGGGTCCCCAGGCTTTGGGGCCATCCTCCACCGCCTTCCCAGGCCATGTGCCAGGAGCTGGATATAAGCGGAGCAGCCAGAACATGAACCAACATCCACATGGGATGCTAGTGCTTGCAAGGTAGAGGATTAGCCAATCAAGCCATTGCATCGGGCCCACCTCTATTTCTTCCAGGCAGGATTTGGGTTGTTCTCTAGCCATCACAGTAACTGCAAGGGACTGCAAGGCAGGGTTTTGCAGGGTAAGATCACCAGATCTGGTCACGTAAGTTGGTGTGTGCCTTCCCAGAATCCCTCCCCAAACACACACACACACACACACACACACACACCCCTTGCATGAGGCATAAATCCTTCACTCTTCTAGCAAAATTAGGGACCTGAAAACCCTACAGCAAGTAGTACCTAAACACCTGAACCAGCTTTTTTGTCTTAAATAGCACATGTGCAAAGTGAGAGCTTCTTTAAAAAAAAAAAAAAAAAAATACTTACTTATTTTTATTGCAAAAGCAGATATACAGGAGGAGGAAAGAGAGAGGAAGATCTTCCATCCAATGATTCTCTCCCCAAGTGGCCACAATGGCTGGAGCTGAGCCAATCTGAAGCCAGGAGCTTCTTCCAGGTCTCCCACACAGGTACAAGGTCCCACGGCTTTGGGCCGTCCTCGACTGCTTTCCCAGGACACAAGCAGGTAGTTGGATGGGAAGCAGGACTGCCGGGATTAAAACCAGAGCCCATATGGGATCCTGGCGCATTCAAGGCGAGGACTTTAGCTGCTAGGCCACAGTGCTGTGCCCGAGTGAGAGCTCTGGACAGCAGTTACTCAGGTGTCTAAACTGTAAAACGGACTCCTGTGCAAGTTTTGAAATGCCAGGAATCATCTTGTCAGACCAACTGACTGCTGCGAGTTTGGTCCCACTTTTAAAACATGGTGATCACTTCAGCCCCTACATCCACGAACCCCACGAAATGCAAATCCAATGTTTGTCCAGATTTAGCTTCCCCTCCCCAAATAAGCAAAAGCGTGATAATCAACTACAAAAAAGATGAGGCTCCCTCCCACCAAATTTGGGCACTGCCAACTCTGCACTGATAGGCCCACTCCAGAAGAGTGTGTATACCTGACTGCTTCTGACTTTGCCACAGCACGCGTTATTTAGTGAAATGGAGGAGACAGACAGGATACCTGCATTGGCCCATGAACTAGTCCACCAGGAAGTACTGCATAGTGGGAGGGTCTAGGTCACCATCACGGTCAGCAACAAAAAAACAGGAAATAAAAACAGACATGGCTAGGAGCTTGCAGGCTGTGTGGGGAGCCAACACACATACTCTGGGAAATAAAAAGTTGACAGGGCAGGCAACAGGACATAATGGGTTAAGCCTGTTGCTTGGGACACCCAAATCCCATATTAGAAGCCGTGGGATTTAGTCCTGGCTTTATTTCTGATCCAGCTTCATGCTCATGTGTCTGTGAGGCAGCAGGTGAAGCTCAAGCACCCAGTCCCTGCCACCATGGAGAAGCCTGAATGGAGTTCCTGGCTCCTGGCATCTGCCTGGCCCAGCCTTGGGTCTCAGCGACCTTTCAGGGGTGAATCAGTGGTGAAAGGCATATGTCTCTCTCTGTTTCTCTCTCACCTTTTCTGTTTCCATTGCTCTGAATTAAAATTTTTTTAAAGGGAAGATATTCAGCTGCCTATGATGACTAACAAAGGAAGTAGAGCAAGACTCTTAGACTAATAATAATAATAATAATAATAGAATCATAGAAAGAATCGGGCCCGGCGCGGTGGCGCAAGTGGTTAAGTCCTCGCCTTGCACGTCCGGGATCCCATATGGGCGCCGGTTCTAATCCTGGCAGCCCCGCTTCCCTTCCAGCTCCCTGCCTGTGGCCCGGGAAAGCAGTCGAGGACAGCCCAAAGCTTTGGGACCCTGCACCCGCGTGGGAGACCCGGAAGAGGCTCCTGGCTTCGGATCGGCATAGTATCGGCCGTTGCGGCTCACTTGGGGAGTGAATCATCGGATGGAAGATCTTCCTCTCTGTCTCTCCTCTCTGTATATCCACCTTTCCAATAAAAAATAATCAAAATAAATCTTTAAAAAAAAAAAAAAAGAATCATAGAAAGAATCACAAGGGACAAGGACCCACAGCAGCCTGCTTGGTAGAAGTGAGCTTGGGCTCCAAAGTCACATCCTGACTCAGTCCCTGCCAGGTACCGCCACCTCCCTGGTCCTAGCACAGCTGTGACTAGCAAATGAGGTCACATTTGTAAATATGTCAGCAAAACACCTTGCCCTGTTAAATATTACTTAAAAGGGAGCAATTCAGGAAGAGAAGATTCCAGAAAGGGCATGTGATGAGACACCACCTTGGCCTGTTCAAAAGGGAAGGACTCAGCAAAAGGCTGGCCAGAGAGCCTGCAGAGGGCTGGGCATGCCTCAACCTTCTTACCCATACAGTGCACCTGTGTCACCAGTGGTGACGCATTCGTTAACATGGGTAAAGCCCTGTCTAGCCATAGTGGTGATGACCTAAGTTTGAGCTGTCATTTTTCTTACTGTGATTAAAGAACTCTATTATTGATCCCCCCAATTCTGTCTGCCAGTCCAGGTGAGCTACACACCACCACAGGGCAGGAGCCAAGGTCAGGTTGACCATTCTGAGCCAGATGGGTACTGCTTTCCGGATAACCCTCTCCTGGCACTAGTGATAGTTCTTCAGACACTGAACCAACGCACTCTGCTGTCACTCAAAAAGACTCATTGACTCTCTCCCAAACAAGCCACATTAAAGCAATCAATACCTTGACTGTTGCTCTCATACCTAAGCAATAACCAACGCCACCTGTTGAAATAGCTACTGCCTTTTTCAGACCGTGCACTCCATTCTTCTCTACAGCAGACCAAGGGTCCCATTGTCAAAGGGTCAACCATCCAAATTAACTCAAGTGACATGTGCCTGTGAAAACATTCACTCACTTGAAACCAAAAGCAATAGCCAAATTGTTCAGAAAAGAAGGGCAACTGGACTTGAAGCATTATTTTTAAATATAGTATTGAAATGTGAAACACTGTAGAAGGCTGATGCTGCAGGACTAATGCCAGCTCCTTAGCTGCTGGGAATATATTCTGACCCCAGCCCTTATACAAAGTTGTTAGCAGCCACGTCAAAAGCCCTCCAGGAGCGTATGCCCTACCTAACCCTGTGATTTCACTTCTGGAAATGTATTTAAGGAAACCATTTAAAAGAAGGGAA